CCCAAATAGTTGCCAGCCCCTGGCTTACATCAACGTCCAGCATATACAAAAGACACAGGGAGCACAGACAGAGGGAAAGGCGGAACTGAAACAGATAGACACCTTAAAACTCATATAAACAAAGAGCAGAGGACAAGGAAGCATTCTCTACGCTCCCTTGCAACTCCCTAAAGGAAGGTGAGAAACAGTAGTGCAGGCCTGCTGCAGACTGGGACAGGACATGGGATTTCATGTAACTTTGTGAAATGTCTATCTTTGATTACTGATTATGGTAAATATTTATTTTGCAATTAACTCGTGTTTATGTGCAAGAAGAGACATATTCCGTTTGGGACAGGTGTCTCCTCTCGATTTAGTTTTGTCTCTGTTGTTTTTCTGTGATTTACCTTGTTTTCCAACGACACTTGTGTTCTATCTGGTGGTTAATCAGTTTCTAGCTACATTCCAAACTTTGTAGAAATGGATAACCTCTCGTCCCTGAGGAAGGTCATTCATTCCAATTGGAACTTTCTGATACCAATAATGAGCAGGATTAACAGGATTTTCCTGGCAATCACTGCTGGGGACTCTCTTGATCTCTACAACTAAAAGAATGCTTTCAAGATGCTGGACTAAGGGAATAACACAGCCAGTGAAACAGCTAACAGCGCGTGCTTCAACAGTGAGAAATCATTGACACCAACTGCTGCTGTGCCCAGTTTACATGGAGAGACTGGCTGGGTAGCTAACAAGTGCAGAAACTTGCACAGATCCAAGTGCTCAGCACCTGGTCCAGGCACGGGGAGGGAGAATACAAAATCTGTGGGGTCTGGGCCCACAGTATCCTGCAAGCCAATGTGCAGGTCATTGTTTCTGGAAGGTGCTACAGGAAGTTAGAGGCAAGAGCTGCTGTCACTGGAGGTGTTACTGCTGGAGCAGGGCACGTGGACGATGTGCATCCAGGCAGAAGTTGAGTGTCCAGTGAGCGTGTCAAAGCAGAAACACGTACTCACCTGTCGCCCATGGCGCCTCAGCTGTTTGCAATGGAGCGCTGCAGGCCCCGCACACCCGTCTGAGTGCCTGGAGCGACCCTTGCAGAAATGACAGCTCCTGGGAGCCCTTTGGCCCCAAGCCCCAATTCTTTCTGGCTGCGGCTCCTCGCTGACACGCTGGCTCCAAGGACGGGGGCACGAGGAGTGGCCTGCAAGAAAGGGCAGACCCGCGTTAGACACTTTCACGCAAGTGAAAACGCATGCACCGTTTACCGCACCACAGCGGATAAGATGACCCTCATGGACCCGGCGCAGCACATTTCCATTAAGAGCTCTCACATCACAACACAAAAAGGCTGGTTTTCCACACAGAAACCACCACATGCCCTCAAGACAGGTTTCCAAATCCCCACCATTTTCCTCACACAACATAACCACGTTTCAGTACACTTTACTCAACCACCACACAATTTGCCATCGGCCCCACAACACACCAGTCACACAAAAATTCCCAAGTGACCCTAAAATATCCACCCTGTTTTCTTTATACAAAATCACCATATTTCCATACACATTTTCACAAACAGTTCTCAAATCAAGAGTTTTCTACAGTCACAATATTTTTTTTTAAAAGTCCTTTATCACCACACAGAATAATCCGCTTTCAAACAAACAAAGGAACAAACCCCCTAATCCCGCAACCCTAACCCTAATCCACAAACGTTTCCATACAAACGCTCCCAAATCACCACACAAAATGGCGGGTTTCTCACGAGCCCACGCACGTGCCCGCACAGCCCCACGTCCCGCTCGCTGGCTCCGCCCCGCCCCGGTGCAGACGACGCCTCCGACACCTCGGACCG